ATGTGACTCTTTTTTTTTTTTTTTAATGTTTTATTTATTTCTGAGAGAGGGAGAGAGAGAGCATGAGCAGGGAAGGGTCAGAGAGAGAGAGGGAGACACAGAATCAGAAATAGGCTCCAGGCTCTGAGCTGTCAGCACAGAGCCCGACATGGGGCTCGAACCCACAAACCATGAGATCATGACCTGAGCCGAAGTCGGACGCTTAACCAACTGAGCCACCCAGGTGCCCCAAGCATGTGACTCTTGATCTCAGGTTCTTGAGTTCAAACCCCATGTTGGGCACAGAGCTTGCTTTAAAAAAAAAAAAAAAAGAAAGTGCACTTTCTATAGGCGCGAGACTCTAACATATACAAAATATTCTGACCTCCTGCCCCACACCTGGTCCTCCCCACCAGTCCTATGGCACAAGGTCGAAAAAGGGATAAACCTATTTCAGGTAAAACTGAGCAAAGGGTCCACAATGAAGAGCAGTGGAAGCCAAGGTTAATGGCATTAAAGAACAGGTAAACAGAAGATCAGAATGAGGAATGTGAATTTGATGTGTCAGGAAGGAGGGAGCCAGTAAAGATTCAACCAAATCTCTCCTGATGTCCTGCCCTTGCGGGAACCCTCCCCCAAGACTAATCAGAAGCAGAATGGGAATTGTACCCCAGTGACAACTCCCAGCATGCTCTGCTCCATTCTCATAGCTCACTTTGGCTTACACGCAGCACTTTGTCTAACATGTCGATGTCTTTCTCTGCCACCATAACCTCCGGGGGCGGTACCCCCTGCTTCACGTGGTGTGATGCAAGCAGCATCCTCAGTAGATGCTCAGTGGTTTCCAAGAAGAAATTTTCATTTTGTCACACCTGACAATACCTAACTGATTTTACTTCCTCGAAGTTTTGGTTAGTTGTGTTGGAGCAAGTGAAAATGCAGAGCTCCTGGAGAAAGATGCTCACAGTATGAGAAGCACTGGGAAAATGCCAAAGAAAAAAGAAAAACCTGAGAAATTCCAATCCCGCAGAGCTGCCGCAGTGCACAGGGCACAGAGCTGGGGCTGGAGGGGATCTGGGACAGGTGGACCCACCCACAAGCAGCCTCCAGGCGATGAATGAGCACTTCCACGCCTTACCTGGTGACTGTGAGAGTCATGTTGTCTGCACAGCCCTTGATTTTGTTCTGAGCTTCCAAGTGGGTCATATTGCTGGTGTTTTCCCCATCGATGGCTGTGATTACATCTCCGATGCACAGGTTAGCCATCGCGGCCTTGCTTCCAGGAGTGACCTGGGAAAAAAGGGAAAAGCAGGTTAGTTACTATTTGTCTCCAAGAAAACCACTGAGTAAGTGACTACTGGCGTAAGCATTCACTGATCAGAGCATTTGAAAGGGGAAAAGGTCTGAAATAATAACTTTCAATAATAATAATCCTTTACATTCACCCAATACACATGCTTTACAAAGAATCCTTTTCTTTTTTTTTTTTTNTATAGATGGAGATTTAATTTCCTATTGTTCCCTTTCTTAAAATTTCTTCTACATACTTCTTTAGTTGTATCCCAGAGACACTGACATATCATGTTATAAATAATATTTTTAAGAAATCCTACAATTTCATTTTGTCTTATATTCTTTTTTTTTTAATTTTTTTTTTAATGTTTTATTTATTTCTAGGAGAGAGAGACAGAGACAGCATGAGCAAGGGAGGGTCAGAGAGAGAGGGAGTCACACACTCTGAAACAGGCTCCAGGCTCTGAGCTGGCAGTCAGCACAGAGCCCAACGCGGGGCTCGAACCCACGAACCGCGAGATCATGACCTAAGCGAAAGTCGGACGCCTAACCGACTAAGCCACCCAGGCGCCCCAGAATCCTTTTCAATATACCATGTCATTGGGTCTTTACGACAACCTCTAAGAGAGGACAAATGTCAGTCCCTACTTTAGAGACCAGGACCCTGAGGCTTAGAGAGATCTGTGATTTACCTGGGATCACCCAACTAGTTTATCACTATATTACTAATCATTGAACTAGTGTATTTACAGAGCCAGAACCCAAACCCAGTGTTCTTCCCACTCAATCTTGTTATTTCCTTAAAATACGTTACTAAGTATATTAAACACACACACACATACAGAGGGGCGCCTTGGTGGCTCAGTTGGTTAAGCATCTGACTTTTGATTTCAGTTCAGGTCATGATCTCTCGGTTGATGAGTTCGAGCCCCACGTCAGGCTCTGTGCTGACAGTGCAGAGCCCGTTACGGATCCTCTGTCCCCTGTCTCTCTTTTTCAAAAATAAACAAACTTCTAAACACATACACAGATTATGCATACCAACATCCTATTTCTATAAAAATCTAAATATATGATTTATGCACAGAAAAAATTGGAACATTTCACACAAAATTATTCACAGTTATACATTTCTGTGATGTTTTTGGTTTTTACAATGATCTTTAATTACTCTTGTAATTAAAAAAGCAATAAAGAATATTTTAAAATATGGTGGTGTGGCTTACATGGTCTGTTCCTCCTACTGAGAAGTTGATTACAATTAAGATCATCCCCTATAGCTTTTCTGCAGGCTGATGCTTCTTTTTTTCCTCAAGATTTTATTTTACTTATTTCTTAAATGTTTCTTTATTTTGAGAGAGAGAGAGACCACAATCAAGTGGGGGAGGAGCAGAGAGAGAGGGAGATAGAGAATCTCAAGCAGGCTCCACACTGTCAGCACAGAGCCCAAGGCACGGCTTAATCCCATGAACTGTGAGATCATGACCTGAGCCCAAATCAGAAGTCAGATGCTTAACCAACCAAGGCACCCAGGCACCCTTCAAGATTTTAAGTAATCTCGGGGCACCTGGGTGGCTCAGTCAGCTAAGCGTCTGACTTCGGCTCAGGTCATGATCTCAAGGTTAGTGGATTTGAGCCCCGCATGGGGTTCTGTACTGACACCTCAGAGCCTGGAGCCTGTTTCGGATTCTGTGTCTCCCTCTCTCTCTCTGCCCCTCCCCTACCCAGATCTGTCTCTGTCTCAAAAATAAATTTAAAAAAAATTTTTTAATTAAAAATAAGACTTTAAGTAATCTCTACACCCAATGTGGGGCTCAAAATCACAACCCCAAGATCAAGAGTCTCATGCTCTTCTGACTGAGCAACTGGGTGCCCCAAGCCGATGCTTCTGACCTAGCAGTTCCAAACTTCTGAGCCACCCATGCTTGAGGAAAGCCAGTCAATTTCTGCAGTGGGTTGTCGAATCCATTTGTCTACTGAGCAATACATGTGGACTGAATAAATATCCTGCTTCACATACAGACAGATGAACAGCTATTTTTCAAGTGAATTACAGATGCTATTGTGACGAATGAAGTACAAACTCATTCTGAAGTAGTACTAACCACAGAGTAATTGTTTGCTACTAGGTATTTCCTAAACCAAGGTATACTACAAATACTACTGTCTTCCCAGGTTGGTCTATGACTTGTGATATTAAAGGATCTTCCTTGATGGGATTCCAAACCTGCCCCCACCCCCGGAGCAGGTTGGTGGCAACACACCCACACCTCCAGTGCTGACAGGGTCCTGCCTCCCCTTGGAGCCTCTGTGGAAGATCCTGTGAACACCTGGGTGTCTCCACAAAGCTGCACCATGGTCAAGAGGACCTTCAGGCACCAAACCAGAACACACGGTTTGTGCAGAAGACCTCCATATCTGATGCAGTTTTAGGCAGCCATGGTTTTTTTTTTTTAATTGTTTTTAATGTTCATTTATTTTTGAGAGAGAGAAACAGAGCATGAGTGAGGGAGGGTCAGAGAGAGAGGGAGACACAGAATCTGAAACAGGCTCCAGGCTCTGAGCTAGTGTCAGCACAGAGCCTGACATGAGGCTCGAACCCATGAACTGCGAGATCATGACCTGAGCCAAAGTTGGACACTTAACTGACTGAGCCGCGCAAGTGCCCCAACCTTCTAATCAGCCTTCACCCATCTGAAAACACCAACCCTTCTGAGAAGGCTGGTGCAATGCTGTTGTCATGGTCCATCCCCCCATCAGCTCCCTGGCCCCAGGGAGTAAGGGGTGGATGACTTGATCCTCGGGGTTCCTTCCAGCTCAGACATGTATGACTTTATCAGGCAAAACTCTTCTGGAATGTAGCAGGATGTGGAAGCCAGTGCAAGGATCTTGACCTCCTAACCTTCCTTTCTGGCTTTCCCATCATCTGTTTACCAGAGATCTGGCTTTTATAAAGCAAGAGACCCTGGGCCACCTAGCTGGCTCAACTGGTGAAGCGTGCAACTTTTGATCTCAGGGTTGTGAGTTCAAGCCCCACGTTGGCTATAGAGCTTACTTTAAAAAAATAAAAAAATAAAAAAGGCCCTAGGCATTACTCTGTTTGGGACTGGCAATAATTCTGCTGGCAAATTTAATCTCCAGAAAGAGCAGCCTGATGGAACCCACCTATCATGAAATTGAATAGTGTGAAATCTATTAATGTGAAATTTAATAGCATTAAAGAATCCCCTCAGGATAAAATCCAGAATCACTAACAAGGTCTGTGAAGATCACACTTCCTTCCTCACCTTCATCATACAACACCCGTAAGTTCTGCTACACAGCCTTGCTTAGTTCTTTCCAACCACAGGGCCTTAGCACCTGTAACCTCTGCCCTGATTAACTCAGTCTCTTCCTTCAGTTCACACTTAAATGGCCCACTCTCAGAGTGGCCTTCCCTAACCTATAATCTAAGGTAGATCCCTGCTTTCCTTTTAACATACTGTTCTTCTTCCTCATGACACTTGTCACTTTGAATTTGTAAATCTATTTTGTGGGTTTATTTATTTAATGCCTGAGGACCTAATGATAAACAGTAAGGTGTGTGAGGACAGGATTTTGTCTGCCTTTTGTGCTGTGTTATCCCCAGTGCCTGGTACTTAGTAGGTGCTCAATAAATATTTGCCCAATGAATGACTAAATTTAAATATCTAGTGTTATTAAATATGTAACATGTTGCTTTAGAACTGGCTATTCTAAATTTTTTTGTTAATGTTTTTTATTTATTTCTGAGAGAAAGAAAGAGACAGTGTGAGCAGGGGTTGGTCAGAGAGAGAGGGAGACACAGAACCTGAAACAGGCTCCAGGCTCTGAGCTAGCTGTCAGCACAGAGCCCGACACGGGGCTCAAACCCACGAACCGTGAGATCATGACCTGAGCCGAAGTCGAATGCTCAAGTGACTGAGCCACCCAGGTGCCCCTAGAACTGGCCTTTCTAAATAACCCCTTCAGAAATGGCTATTTCAAAAGGAATCAAATAATCTGTTCCCTCAATAGCGCTATCCTGGAACATGACCACCCACAAAACTACAATGATGAGATGGGGGTGGGGTGGGAAGGGAAAGACTTGAGAAAATGAAAATAGAAATTTCTTTTCTACTTTAATATGCTCAGCTGCTAAGAACTCTGGAATTTCCAGCACTGGTTCAAACGGTCTTGTGGGTGAGGCATTTCTGTTAAGTACATCCCAACAGGTCCTGGACAGGCTAGAACCAGTCTTAAGAGTCTCAAGCCTGAGTAACTGATCCCTGGCCATCCCATTTCCTGGTCTGATTTTTTTTTTAAGCCAAAATGATGAAAAGCCAAAGGAAATCTCAGAAAGTTACAAGACAATGTCATCAACAGGGACTTGGATGGGATCACAGAGAAACAGATCACTTTTACTTTAAAAAAATGCAAAGCCCTTTCACGTTCAGTCTAGTATTTGAGGACCTCACCACCACCATATAAGACAATTTCACAGAAGGGCAACTGGGTGGCTCAGTCGGTTAAATATTCAGCTTTGGCTCAGGTCATGATCTCATGGTTCGTGAGTTCAAGCTCCACGTTGGGCTCTGTGCTGACAGCTCAGAGCCTGGATCCTGCTTCAAATTCTGTGTCTCCCTCTCTCTCTCTGCCCCACCCCTGCTTGTTCTCTGTCTCTGTCAAAAAATGAATAAACGTTAAAAAAAAAAAAAAAAGACAATTTCACAGATAAGGACATTGAGATTCAGAGAAACCATGCATGATTCAAGTTCTCACAGCTAAAGGCTTGAGCCTGAACTTGAAACCACATCCCCTCATTCCAAAGTGCATTCCCTTTCTGTTTACCACCATGCCACGGAAGATGCTTTCAACCTAACTGCCAGAGCCAGAAAGAAACCCAGGTTTAAGAAGATGCCTCTGCCTTGGCCTCCTGCACAAGGAACTTGTGTCACAAACTCCTGCTGCTGCCTGGGTGTGTCTCCACCCCAGGACAA